GTCCACCGAGAAGTGACCTTATCCTCAAAAATCGTATAAGCATAAGCGAAAAGACTCTTGTTTATTTCCTGCGTAAACATTTAGGCGGAACCAAGATAATACGAAAGAGAAACTGGTTTATTATAAACAGATACCAAAATGTTTAGATTATTAATCTCAGAGGCGCAAAAAGATTAAGAATCCTTTTCGGTGTTTTATGATATACGGAGTGAAATAAAAATGATAGATGTTTCTGCTGCGTACGTCCTAATTGGTCTTCTACTGGCCTTTTAGGTTCTAGATTTCATCTCACATTTAATATTTCGGAACGTCGTATAGTGTTATTACGGCTCCCCTGGTTAAATTAAAGACCATCGTAGGTGTCAAGATAAGTTAAGTCAGGGGTCTCCCCTAGAAAAATAGGGTAGAAATTAAATCGGCTATGTGATTATGCCTTTAAAATAATAATTTTCCCATGTCTCCATAAGAAATTCTAAGTTTCATTCTGCTCATTTTTTAAGTTTTGTAGTGGAAGTAGAACGGCATAGTTGGATCGTAACATATGAGGGTCGTTGCAAAGTAGGTGTTCAAGAAATAAATACTAAAGGGTGGGGTCAAACAGTGAATTGTCCACAACGACCTTAAGCTTAAAGTGTTTAAACGACTTACCATACAAGACCGTGCAATATGATATGACAAGATTTAGGGAATAGAATACGATGACAAAGAAAAATTAAACATGGCCTTATGGCATAATGTTTGATTTTCCATGTATTATTTTTGTTAAATCTTGTCATATTATACCTCGCACGTCACAATTGATCCAATAGAATATACGGGCATAGCCCGTTTAACATTTCGCCATGTTTTATTTTTCTTTGTAATCATATTACATTCGCTAAATCTCATCATATGCCATATCGTACCTATATGGTAAGGCACTATAAGCTTAGGGTCTTTTCGACAATTCACCTTCTGACCCCACCCTTCATTATTTAGTTCTTAAGCGACATTCTTTTCAACTATTCCTCATACGTCATGATCCCACTCACTAGCAGTTCTACCCCGTCCACAAAACGTTAAAAACCAGTAGAATGAAACTTAGAATTTCTTATGGAGATATAATATATCGGAAAAAGAATCATTCTAAGGACGTAGGCACATAGCCTATTTACTGAAAAAAAACCCAAAATATATAGTAAGAGGAGGTTAGAGAATACATTTGTCTGTAAATAGGAATATTATTTCGATCGAAAACAGAACATTAGGAAATTTGATTTCTTACTATTTTTCTTACTCTGACTCGAACACAGAGCTCATAGTCCAGAATGCTCTTTTTTCCTTTCCGATGCGACCTTTAATCTCTTGGGTATTGTCCCACGACTCATTGATTATAGTTCCCAAGTAGTTGTATTCTGAGACACGTTCAATTTTCTGCAAATATTAACCATATATAAATTTCTTCAAAACCACCGCAGTTTTATTAATTATTGTATTCCGAAATTAGTTAATAAATAAATGGAACACAATGTTTAACTAGCTTTTCAGTATTAGCTACATATTGTAAAATATTTCTATTTTAAATGTTTCGACTCTAAAATAAGAATTTCTGATAATGACTATCTTTAAGAAGAAATCTTATTATTAAATAATTATTTTACAAAGTTATTCCCAAAATCTATTTGAGAAACTAAGACACCAGAAAAAAAAACAGTTTTAGCATGAAATAAATATAAACTTTATTACCATATTTGAATAATATTTACCCAAATTTATTAACATACCAACATATATTTGAATACATAATACTGACAATGTAAACTTTTCTTGTATGGACGCCACTGGCATAAATTGGCAGTGCTATTAAAACATCACATTAAAAATGTATTTACCCGTTAATATGCTGGTCCTACTACGTCTAATTTTTGTGTGGTATGGTCAGTTCCATTATTTGTCGGTTCGGCAGACAGGAAATCAACAAATAGTTTAGTCAGATTTGCAACATTTATATTTAGATATATTATCACAGTTGTTTTTGCTGTATACCTTTAACTTTGAACTATTAACGAGACGTCCTCTAGTTCGATAAAAATAATTTTCCAACGATATCTTTGATAAAGCGAGGTTGAAATTGATATCGTGTTGTATTTATGGCACTATATTAATAGAAGTAATTAAATATTGGCTGTCTACCTACCTCATTTGTAGAAATTGGAATTCGTCCTTCGTGTTTGTATAAGTCAATTTATTCGCTGTTTCGAACGAAGTATTAATTTTGAACCGGCAGTTGTCAATTTGTGACAAGTAACGGAATTTGACATTCGCGATCATTTTACTCACAGTTTTTTAAATTATTAAAATCATATCTGATTAGACTAAATGAGGTAAAAAATGTGTACACTTTGGCATAACCAATACACCATTTATTTAACCTATCACTAACATCACAGATATTTCCCGATTTCTGAAAATCTACTTTTTTAAAACCAATTTTCAAGTCTGGTCGGAAAGATAAAGCTGAAAATTACCGTGCAGTTTGTATACAGTCAGAGGTACCCAAACTATTAGATTGTTTTGTAAATATAATGTTAAGTTTTGATTGTAAAAACATAATAATTGGTGAACAACATGGTTTTAGCCAAGGTAAATCCACAGTTACAAATCTCGTGATAAATTTTATCGTTAACTCGTTGGAGTTCTCAGGTTGATTCAATCTATGCTGATTTTTAAAAAGCTTCGATAGAGTCAATCATGAGATCTTGATTGCCAAACTTTGTGGCTATGGCATTAGCCATAATATCTCAAATTGGATTAAACATTATTCGTCTAATCGTTCTCAAATGGTTAAATATTTTAGGTTTTTCTCAAAACCAATTCATATAACATCAGGTGTTCCACAAGGTTCTCATTTGGGTCCACTGCTTTTTAATATATTTGTTAACGATTTACAAACAGTAATTACCTCCGACCAATTTCTCTAATTCGCTGATGACATAAAAATCTTTAGATCTATTGCTTGTCTCTCTGATTGTGAATGGTTGCAGTTGTCCTTAAATAATTTTTCACGTTGGTGTGAAGTAAATGTTTTAAACTTAAATCTAAAAAATGTTTTAAAATCACGTTTAGTAAAACGAAGTCTTCTTTTAATAATAATTACACATTTAATGATACTGTTCTGCAAGAAATACGTCAGGTACGGGATTTGGGTATAATACTGGATAGAAAACTGAACTTTAATGATCATAGTAATACTTCACGTGCCCTTAAAATGTTAGGATTTATCCAACGAAATTCAAAGGATTTTTCAGTTTTTACGTTTAGTTTAAAATATTATACTGTTCGCTAGTGCAATCAATTATAGAATACTGCTGTATTATATGGTGTCCTTTTTATAATACCCAGAAAACTCAACTATAATAGAAAAAGTTCAAAACAGATAATAAAGGATATGTGGTTATAAAATGGGTTTAAGACGTGGAAATTATAATTACAGTTACATTCTTAATCAACTTAAAATGAACAAAGAACCCGTAATTCTGACCTGTTTATTGTAGATTTCCATTCTACTAATTATGAACTTAATGAAGTTATTTCTAAGATGTTACGTACGGCGAACAATTACCAAACAGATTTAGAATTATTTAATACTTCAACTGCATCATTTAAAAAACACTTTAAAAAACTGTTGTAGCTAGCTTATGTATTTTACTGTATCTTATACATATTGTACAAAAACTGAAAAAGGTTTAGCCCGTCAATAAGTAAATAAATAAATAAATAAAAGGGAAGGTGAAGACAACAGCTTCATCTAAACGTTATAGGCATTATGAACTTTGTAGGAATATATTAATTACACAAATGTTTCTCACACTCGCTACAGATATTTTTGTTAAAGCGAAGCTTCCATACTGGCTTTTATGACTTTTTTCTATCGTAAAATGCTGAGGCGAGCGTCACGGAACTGCCTCCACATGACAGCGTCGTCACAGAACTAGCGCCACAAGATGGCGTCGTCTATTCGTTTCCACATAAAAAATAAGTAACAAAATACAGTCATTAAATGAGAAGTAAAAAATAAACGAATATTTTTCAGTAAAAGATTTCATTTGCAACGATTGTCAAGAGATAAAAGTCATAAATGTCATCCGATTAATAACAGTATTGAATCATCTGGTTCACAATTGGGGTCATTTACTGTAAGAAACACTATTATATAATACAATTGGGTTAGTAGATGGTTAATAGGTAAAAGATTACAATATTATATATTTTAGGCCGTTATAAAAGCAGCAAATGGAAAATAGAACAAATATGAATTTAGACCTTGAAAATTAATACCTCATAAGACCAACGGAAAGAAACCGAAACGTTAGCCAAAAAATTGCTAACGTAAAAACTTTTAAGAGTAGTAAAACATTAGGCATGACAAATTCTTAGAAAACTGCATAAATCACGTCATTTTTATAACTACACAGACGCCGATATACATATTTTATTTTCAAATAAATGCAAGGCAGGCTGCTGCTGGATTAGCATTTTTTTTGCACTATTTGTAGTGTTACATGAGATAATTTTTATTTTAATATTTTAAAAATAGATTTTATAGTCTACATTTGAAACTAACGGATGCGTTTTAGTTGTAGGGAACATAAAATATTTAAAAATATCTGTCTCTAACCATACGATAAAAAAAATAGAATAGTATAATGATATTTGACTTTTGATTTTCGTATATACATCTAGAAAATATTGAAAACATACACTATAAAATTTCAGTAATATTTTAATGTTATTAACCTTTACTCCAGACAGGGGGAGAAATCCTATAGGAGATATTGCAACTATAGAAACAAATTCATACAAAAAAAAAATGACAAAATTGGGTAAAACAAATCAGTTGAATTATATCTTGAAGAAGAAGAAAATCTTTTAAAATATCAAGTGATATATGATATATTTTAGCTATTTATAATATTAGTTTGAACAATAAGTTTATTTTACACTTCTTTCTTCTTTTTTAGAGTACACCGTGTAAGCATCCGGTAATAGTCCTTCAAGATGTTGCATGGACGGATCTCCACGCCTTGGTCGAATTTATATATCATGGAGAAGTCAATGTCCATCAACGGTCTTTGTCGTCATTCCTCAAAACTGCCGAAGTTCTCAGGGTTAGCGGCCTCACCCAGCAGCACGGTGATGGCCGGGATCAGGTAAGAAGACCACCTTGTATTAATCATAAAGTTTGGTAACTGTTGATATTGAATAAGCTTTTGAATAGTCAGCAATCAATGTACCATTTAACCAGCAATAAAAAAAATAAAACAGATTATGAAAAATTAGCAAAAAATATTTTTAGACTGTCAACGTTCATAATGCTAAGTTGTCATGAAAAAATAATTAACCATTTCGCTAAATCTGGAAGGTAGTGAGGAAGTGATGAGAATGTCTTAAAGAATAATAAGGTACATCATACACACCTACTCATTTTTTCAAGTCAACATATTTTCTTGTCCCTGATATTTAAGTTGCACTGAAAACTCTGAGATCTACAACTTGTTCGTAACAGGTTGCAACTGAACACAACTTAAGCACCTTACAAAGAACAACAAAGTAACTTTATGAAAGCCAGAGCATATAGGAATTGCTGGTTATGAGTTTGACAATAGTATTGCTAAATAATGAGTTAGTACTCATTTTATTAGATCAGAACTATTGTACAATATACCAAAAAGCCGCATTATGAAGGATGTCCGCAAATAGAAAGAAGAATTGAGTGTAGACTAATGGGGAAATATTCTAGGACCAAAGCAAGTAAAAAGTCACAGAAAATTCAAAGGAAATTGCGGAAAATATTGTCTGTAACTCTATTAGCGTTTTTTTTTTAATTTTCTTTAACCTATTTTATTTTAGTTGGCACAAGTACAAAGTATGGTTAGAGGGCATCAGCACCAATCAACACCTATCTCCAATCACCATCCATCGTTTACAGACAAGCTAGTAGAAGAGAGTTTATTCACATCACCTTCCTCCCCGCCGCATGGTGCCACCGTTAATCAGTTGCTCAGGAGAGCGGCAATGCAATATAGGAGAGAAAGGAGGATATCTTTAGATCCCGAAGCTGAACACAAACGAGCGAGATCAGACCACATTATCGGCAATAACAATAATAATAATAACGAATTAAACCTATCGACGACGCATTCGCATCCCCCTCCCCAGACGCAACCGGCAGATTTTTCACCTAGCGCTATGAAGAACAACGTGCTCAACCTTAATCTTAATTCAATAAAAAATGATATAGAAGGTAAATAAAATAAATTAATTTAGATATTAATCACTAAAATCTATAAACCTCTAATTACTATAACCAGAACATCTAATTTTCAGTTTTTCTTTTTAGTTCAAGATGTATTTTACCTTGTCTCAACATTACTCTCCCAGTCATCTACTTCTTGATATATTCTCGATTATCTGTACCCATTGAACGTACAGCAAATTTTAATTATGGTGAGAGGCGCGAAATGACGTTTCTTCGCCTCGAGCTACTAAATTTCCCGACCAGCGAACTGATTATTAAGCATAGTTTCAGTAGCGTTATTACTTACTCAACTGTTGTTGGTGTTTATCTGTTATTCAGGGAGACATGCGATCGCCACTCTTTCATAGCCACGATCTACTCAATCAGTTACTTCAACAAATGACCGTTTCGAATCTGCAAGATGAAGGTTTATAATAATTGCTGTTTTCTGCAGATACCCTTATGCGCTCAATATTTTTTCTAGCCAAGCTGTTCTCTATTAATATATCTTCAGATTTTTCCTTGTCGAATTTTATCGTTTGCGTTATTGGTCCCAATTATTGTAGGGTCTTTTTTAAATTTTAATGTCATTTTATGCATTTTTATTTTTATTTTCATGGCACAACGGATATGAATTGTATTTAGCATGTACATATTTGTGATTTTGCTCACTTTTCTGTTTATTTGTATATGCTTTCGGTTTTCTTGATAGATTATCTTTTTCTATTCTGATATTCTAAATACCCATCATTCTCGTTATACCTGCTTTATCTATCGGCACGATACTTAGAATGATCTTCTTTTTAAAATAGTAACATTTCTTAATTTGTTTTTCGGTATATCTTGTTTAGGCTTCAATTATTACTTATTCAATGGTCTCTTCTTAATTCTATTGGAGTTTTTGTTACTGTTAATTTTTTTAATTGTAGTGATATATTTAAAATCATTCTTTTTTAAGTGCCATCTCCGCGACGAAGGTTTCTTGAGCTCGTGAAACAATTTCCTTGAGCTGCAACCAAACCACTCTCTCAGGTTCTTCAACCAGGAAACGCGTCTTCTTCCTACGCTTCTCCCACCCCCTATTTTTCCTTGAATTATGAGTCTGAAGATGATATATCTTTCGCCTCTCATCACATGTCCGAGATATTGCAATTTCCTTTCTTTTATTGCATTTTCCATTTCCCTCTTCCTGCCTATTCTCCTTAACACTTCTGTATTCGTGACTCTATCTTCCCATGGAATCCTTAACAATCTTCTAAATGTCCACATTTCAAACGCGATCAAAATCATTAATTTTCATTAATTGTTGTGTTATTAAAAGTTTCTTTTATAACATCCACAGGTAACGGAATAAGCAGTACAGACCGAGAGGCATCGCCGTGCTCACCGTCCCCCACCCTCCTCCATTCCCGCATAAACAACAACGACAACGACAACAACAACATCAAAAACGAGCCCATGGAACTCCTATGTACCACGAATCAAGAGGACAACAGCAACGACTCCACCGACGTTACCAACGATAACGGAGGCATCGGAGGTCCTCATGGTGGTCCACATTCGGGCAGCTCGGGGGGCGGTGGGGACCATGACGACCACGATAGCGCCATTAGTCCTTATTTAACGCCGACGGAGAGCAAATTATTTGCGACGGCGGCGGGAAGTTTTAATTTTAGTATGGCTGCGTTGGCGGGAGATCCGTCTATGCTTGGAGGTAAGTTTTCCTTTCTTCTGTCCCATACGATATCCGTCTGAGGTTTTCGCGAAGGTAGTACGAAACTTATCATCATTAAGCTGTTTTTATCATCATTGTACACCAAAAACATAAAAAATATATCTTTATAAAATGTTTATGCATATAAAAAGTATTACATGATGCGAGTGTGATTTTTTCTTATAAATTTTGGTTTTATGTTTTTTAACTAATGATTTACGTGTTCTGCATTTGCTGAATTGCTGAGACTGTAAAGGGTATGTTCTGCGGTAACTCGCAAGGCAATATACAAATATGGATAAATAGATGGTGTCACACCATCAACAATCACAAATGCAAACGGTTGCTAACTCCCTCGTTACAAGATTCCTACCACTAAGTGATGACTATAGTAAACAATAAAAATGGCAAAAATAAAGCACACCCTATAACAATTGAATGAGTTGATGCAAAGATAACATAACTGTATATACATCAGTTCATACAAGTGTTCTTGGTAAGAAATGATAAAATATCTGTAGTTTGAGGAAAAATTTTATTTTTACGCTAAGCTCAAACACATCGTGTAGAGAACCACGTCAAGACGTCTACGAACCTTTCCGTCTGAGAAAAAGACTTCTGAATGGATGAGCATTCCGGGAATGGATGTAAAAATTTTCTTCCATCCGTGTAATCAATACTATTAGTGAAAGAAGCTCTATCTACCATTTATCTCTCGCAGAGCAACATTTAGCCGTACAAAAGGGGGACCAATGAAAATGCTAATAATTTTTCAACACTTCAAGACGTAAATAAAAGAGCAAGAAACCCGGTACAAAAAAGGACAGTTATGTGAACCATTAGAGAAATAAACGTGATCAGAAACAATATTGCAATTGGAATTCAAAGAGCAATTAATGACAACAATATGTAGTAGTAAGTTATTTCTAAATATGTACAAAAGTGGGAAGTTAGAAAGTAGAACATACTTCAAGTCGTTCTACTCTTTTTTTGAACTTATTAAAATAATTACTATTACTATTACAATTAAAATGTGTACTATGTCGAAAGCCTTGTAAAAGTCTATAACAATCAGTTACAAGGGTGCTATATTGTTATACAGTAACATTTGTTTTGACACAGTGAACGTTGAGACCATCTGGCGGTCACTAGAACAGAATTCTTGCTATTTTTACATTATTAGGAACATATATGAAAATTCGACAGATACTATAAACCTTCAGGAGACCACCAATAAAGTCGACATCATAAGATTAGTAAGGCAATGTAACCAAAATTGTTCTCAATATTCTCAACAGTGTTGATAGCGGATAACCTACCTAACCTAGCGGAAAGTGTGATTGAAAATTAGTGAAACCAAAACAAAAATGATGACCAATCTAGCACCCAATGAAAATATAATAATTAAGTTCACTTACAAATATACATATCTAAGACATGAAAAGAAAGACAGTAGAGAAAACCAGACAAGTGAGTGATAAAGAAGAATATCCGTGAGCTGGGCTGTCTATGGCAAATTAAGATACGTCTTTAAATTGGATGTGCCCATTAGCATCAAAACAAGGGCGATCAACCTGTGTGTGCTGCCATTCCCTAACACGGAGCTGAAATTTTTACCCTTACTAAAAAATCTGTCAGACAGTCAGGAATAACCCAAAAAAAATGAAAACCCTTAGTAGAAAGTCATAGGTGGATGATGTTCTCAAACGCATTGCAAAATTTACAAGGAGATGGGCGCGACATGTAACACTATAACGGGACGGGAGATGGACCAATAAAATTCTTTAATGGATGACAAGAAGCGATGAACGCAGCCGTACCAGACCTCCTGCCCGATGGTCAAATAATATCCAGAGAATCTGGACGAATTGGGTTGCAACACCACAGGACAAAAGTAATTTAAAAAACCTTGAGGAGAGATATGTCCGGTAGTGGACGCAAAGAGATATGATGATAATGATAATGATGGATAAAATTACAACGTAAGGTCAATCAAAGGGTAGAACGAAGACTCGAAAGTGTAGAAGATAACTTCCAAGAGAATGATATCTAGATGATGAATACTGAAGAAGACGCTATAGAGTGTCCCAGAGGAACAAAAGAACAGAATTTAAAAAAGCAACGAAATATATAACAACGAAAGCTCTAAAAGCAATTTACAACTAACTGTAGTGCTTTATTATTGAATGAATATTTTTGTTCAGTAAGTACTATTTAAGGTTATAACTACCGAATTACCATACTTTGAAATTATACGTTCTCAATAAATTAATTGATTACGGAATTCATTTTTTTAAAACCCCTTTTTGGCTTTGATTTTCGTAATTGGCGCAGTCAGTAGGATTTTTAAAAGTTTATAGTTTATAGTGTTTAATTCTTAAGCCATTATAGGTTATGATCTGATGCTTACCATGAACAATACGACACAAAATCCAAAACGATATGTTCAAGCTAAATAATCTCAGCAAGTACAGTAACTACTCTGTTACGTTAAAGGAAAAAAATTGTATCGAATATAATTTTGTTTTCCATTAAAATTTTCTTTTGAAACACCCTTTGACTTATATTTTTGTGATATTTCAGGGTTAAATCAGTCTCTACAGGGAAACGACAGCTTGGCGGGCACTTCACAAGGTAAGAATCTTTTACGCAACTTCCCCCTTAATTTTTTTCGTTTGTAGTTGTCTTAACTGAATGTGCATTTGTTGTAGTGTGTCAGTTAAGGTGACGTATATTGTAAAACTTGTTTCTTCCGGATATTCCCATATTCTCCGTATGGCAATATCAGTGTTGTCTACATCTACTACTTAACTTGAAAAGGGTTTTCACTAAATTGTATACTTGTCTTATTTGTTTAATAATTTTTGTATTGGACAGTGCCAAAAAGTGCTAATTGAATTTAATATATACATACCAAGAATGTTTAGTTTTTGTTTTTTAACGTAGTTATTTTTGTATTCTGCCGTTTAGGCATACTAAGGAAAACAAAGATTGTTTCGTCTTTCTCATGACTGAGTTTTCCTCATCAGCCAGTATTTTTTCATTTTAATGGAATGTTCCTCTTTCTTTTTTTGTGATTACTTGTTAGGATTAGTCCAAAGTCCAAACTGTAATAGTTATGTAAAGACTGATTAAAGGATGTGACCCAAAAATATGAAACGTAATTATTTTGAATTGGTTTCTGGGAGAAACACGTTTATATTTTAAATAGACTAATCCCTGTGGACAGTTGAGTCACTGTCACTTACGAACAGGCTCGCAACTGAACGCATTGCTACAGCTTGGAATTAAATGCCGTTGTGCGCATTTAGCGGCAAAATCACGTCAGTGTATTTACATATTTCATGAAAGATAGAACCAAAAAAAAGGTTTGAGACCCCACTTTTGAGTAAAAGCCACTTAATTGTATATCGTATATACAGCTACCACAGTGGGGCTGTGGATGAGTTTGCCTAATGGAAGATGATTAATACGCTGACCATTGGTAACACGATTACACAAATAGCCTTTCAGTCTGGCGAAAGTGTCGAGGTTGGACAGAGCTAAAGTACAAGTGGTTTGCGAGTGAGATAAATAAGAGAACATAAGAAAGAGTAAATCATTTTGGGCATCACCCTATTTTTGAAAGAAATAAGAAACCCAATAAATAATCGGAAAGAAAATAAGACGAGAACGATAACGGGAAAGATACAAGATGATTCCTACACAGTAACAAAAGAGTGGAGAAGGATAATTTATATCTCGCGGTATATAATTTAAATTAGCGGGATACTTACAAGATAGATAATCTGATTAATTAATCTTCCAGCCAAGTGAGACCTTCTTGTTCAAGAATTGAGACAAAAGTGAACTAATAGTTCTAGCTCAGATTGCTGTGAAGAAGAGGAATTTCGGTTCTTATTTGAGAATAGCCCTAAATATGGGTTACGCACAGGGAACAATTTTTTAATTCGATCTTTGGCGAGGGAAAACACAGCGATGACCATATAAATAGTAAATGGGCAGATATTTTATTGTATCGGTTGTTGGAAGTTAATGGTTAGTGAGTAGATAACGCAAACAAACAATAAGTTAACTTCACCTGAATCATAATAAATTTACTATACTTATAGATAAAATAAAAATTAGCTTGTTTAAGCTTAAACTATGTTCCGAATAAAAGCACTCTATTAGAGAATCAATTTAGAAATATTGTAAAATTTAGATAGTGAATGGTTCCCTGAAAATAAAAAAAAACAATATTGATCAGTAATCTAAAAAAAAATAATATATTGCGTTTACATTTTATTTGTCTATATCTTCTTTGGATTGTTTAACGTTGGATGCCAATTGAAATAATCACCTTGCTTTTAATAGTTAAGTTTTCTAATTTATTAACTCAACCTCTAATTTCACTATAACAGCGACGTGATTATTTCAAATGTTGCTGTAACCGTTAGATATTTGAAGATGTTTGGACAACTTTAGAAGGTTTAAAAAGTTTGTAATTTAAAAAACAAACTTTCTGTGCGCAATATATTATTTTTTAGGTTAGAGATCTAAATAGTTTTTTCGATCATTTCGTAAACCGCTCTCTAGTAAAATTAAATAATACATCTAAATTGATCCGCTTATTGAGGGCTTTCATTTGACATAAAACTTAGTCTTTAAAGGCTACCTATAAGTATAAATAAATCTATGTAGTTGACATATTCGTGTATCTTTTTTTTGATGGATTAGCTTGTATTTAAAATATATATTTATTAACAAATATTAGTTCTTTTAGCTTGTTTGATTTAAAATATGTTCATAATGTTAACAAATATATAAACACATACTTTTTAGTGAAAACCTTATTTAGGTCTTCTTACAGTTTCGGAATGTGTTTTATTTTGTGTGTTTTGTTTATCTTGTCCCTGTTTTGTGTTGATTTTTCTCTTTCTTTTGATTCTCAAGTTGAATATCGGGGGAGCCATCTAAGTGAGGAATAAAATAAGAATTTATACGTTCTTTGACTATAATTCCTTTCGATGTTTTTGATATAGTTGTAATGTAATTTAGGATCTGTTTCAAAATTTTTGTAATTGAAAAGTTTAAGAATACAGAACCAACGTTTTTTTTTTTAATTAGAGTGTTCAGTAACTCAGAAAATGTCTGTGATATGATCCTAGAACACAAATCACACACGTAGATTAAATAAACAAGAAGAATATGGCTTTGTTTATGTGGAACATTTTTATTAAAAAATATAAATGGTATATTTATTTAAAAGGACCATTTAGGGCTAAATCGCAGAACATTTTGGGAATAAATATTCCATCTTCACTGCTGCTACTAGGTATGTATGTTTAAAGCCTCTAGATATATGGGTGAAAATACCTTAAATGGTATTTAATTGTTAGTAGATTACATAGTTTCTGATCATTTTGTAGAAACTTAAAGTTTTAACTAGATTGTATTGATGGCAACATAAATTGTTACAGTGCAACTGTAACAACCTAAAGTCCGTTTACACACTACGCTTCCGGACCAGTAACCCTAGTTGGCAATTTGCGTTACCATGAAGGGAATCTACTTAAAACATCCTACAAAATTAGCAGCCATGTAATTTAATACCAATTAAATAACATTTAAAGGTTTTTCGCCCATATATTTGGTGGCTTTAAACATGTATACCTAGTAGCAGCACTGAAGATGGGATATTTATTCCGTCAATGTTCTGGGATTTAGTCCGAAAGGGTTCTCAATAAATATACCTTTTTTAAAGGATTTTTTAATAAAAGGTCTTGTTATTTATGGTATACAACCGATTACAGGAAATTTACTTTTTCCTTGTGGATATCGAAAATATTCGACAGAATGGACTGGAATATGTATTTTGCAGTTGTATATTATTATCATACGTAGTATATGTTACAATTTTTGTCCTACAGGCCATTATGAGCTCTTTAAAGTCAGTTCGGCCTACAAGTTGCACTGAATTGTCAGATTTGCAACGAAAATTTTAAAGGCCTGACTCTCTTGGACTACCAAAATGTCTCTTAAGGCTCAAAAAAGACTTATTTGTGTTTAATTCGGTTCTAGTAGAACTATTAGCATGTTTTAGCAGATGAAATATTTGCAAAAAGTAAATGAATGCAACACTTAAATAAGCACTATAATAAAAATATTTAGTGTTTATCTATTCTGGGTATTTCGATAATTAATATCCATAATAGTTGTCTAAATTAATGTAATTTTGGAACACCATGCGTTTTTTACATTAACAATATAGTTGGTTCTGTATTTGTAACTTCTCGTTGTTGAAAATTCAAAATTTATTTGTATTCAACTTGTAAGACTACGGCAGTCATTTTTTTTAAATGGCTCTATTTGGAGGAAGAACATGTCGGCTCAAAAGGCTGCTCGAATTGTACTGTACGTTTAGTCCCGTTTAGAACAAAATTAGTCCCTCTCTTATCGTTTTTTGGGTCAATTATAACGGATAAAATTTAAATAGGTGCTATTTCGAAAATAAACCAAAGACTGTGCATTTAAATTTGGGTATAAAAGTTTTTATATAACGGTTTTGTCAAATAAAACTTATGGTTCATTCATTTCTACCGGTCCCACATGGAATGTTTGGAAAATTTGCAATAAGGTTTTAAATTTCCCACTTTTTATAATACATTCATAGCATGAAATATTTTTTTTATCGTATTTGTATATCAGAATAATAGCCTGGAACTTGACACAATTACAAGGCAAGTTTACAAGGTAATATGAAGAAATTATCTGAAAGCTTACATCGGACAAACAGGGAGATCCTTGAACACATACCAGCACTTAACAGCTCATTTGAACACAAAAACAGTTCGAAGTTCAGTTGTACAGATCAAGTGCTAAATAACAAGGAATGTATAAGATAAATCTATATACATATACATAATAAAGGTAACTCTTTTAGATACTTTAGATACTTAATTTTATGCCTCCAGCATTTGGATGTACCGTGACCAAAAAAAAAAAGAAATATATTTAGCCCCTAATAATACACATTCTTTGGTCAGTTTGGAATAGCATCTTTTACGTATATCGGTCCAGAAGTAGAGAACAAAATTTCAAAATTGCAAAAATAAAATTCAAGCTGTTGAACCGAAACAGCTGCCTCTTTATTTTAATAATTGGATTTTTGATCAATTGGATTATATAGAATGAATCTTTTTATGATTTATATTTCTTTAAAATAAATGTATAAAAAACAATGAAAACGTTTTTATATTAAATGTTTAATTATACAAAACAAAATGAACCCAAAATACAGACACCAATGACAGAAAATAATCATAATAAATGGATCAAAGTTGGAAAAACAAAAAGCAAGGCGAATATTTAAAGGTTAATAATTTAAAACTTGCAAATTCATAGTTGATGATTCATAGTTGTGTCTTCTAGGTACATTGTATATATTTCTTGGCACTTTTATTTTCGAGAATCCTCATTCTCTTCTAACAGTTTTTATTTGTTTGGGACACATTTCCAGATACGTTGAGGTGTAACTCGAGGTAATGTGTTTCACTAAAAATGTTCCTTGATGAACAATCACGTTCCTTGTACGTCTTACGACGTTACCAATTTATTTTATACTACCAATAATATAATTTAAAATCTTTGAA